TCAGCGCAGCCAGGGCCCCGCAATTTCTCCGCTCTGCCATGGCCAGCTCATGCTGTCGCTGTCTCTCTCGATCTTGGCGCTCCTTCTCTCGGTCCTCTACTTCCAATTCTTTCATCCGCAGCTGGATCTCCAGCCACTGCAGCTCTGCTGGGCTGGCTCCTACCCTAGATGGGCTACGGCTTGCAGGCCTCCCGGGGGAAGCTGTTCCATCTCTCCGGCAGGCTCCAATGCTCTGCCCGCCTGACACGCTCTCAGGTGGGGTCTGACTGCACCCCCTGGGGACAGGATCCTGGTTCTGTGGCGGGTCATTCTCTTCCAGCTGGGCAATTAGCTGGGCCTTGGTTGCTTTCTGCACGGGCAAGCCCCTCTCTCTGCACAGCTTCACTAGCTCTGCCTTCAAGAGTTGGGCATAGGCCATCGGCCCACTGGTACCCTCAGTGCAGACTCACCAGTCTAGTGCTGCAGCGCCCCATGATTCCCAGGAACCGCTTCGCTCTGTCTCCAGCACGCCTGGTTCCAGGGCTCTTGCTTCTACTGCGCCTTGTCGCTCGCCGCTGGGAGCTCCATTCACGGGGTGCAGTGCATCCCACTTTTGACACCAGTGTGACGGCGCGTTGGGGTCCCCCGCCTCCTGCACCCTCGAAATGGCACGAACAGACTCCACCAGCAAGTAGAATAGAGGTCCGGGGGTGCAGGAGGCACGGGACCCCAACGCGTCGTCACACCTGACTTTATTACTTCCAAAACCCAATGGTCCGAGGTGATGTCGCGCCACTGGCTTGAGGCGGTGGTGAAAGAGAAGGGTGGTGGTGGGTTTTTCTACTGTGAGCACTGAAGATGTGTTTGTGTCCTCGACACATGAGTCAAATTTGCTGTTTAGCATTAGCCCAGGCTGGCGCACCATTGGACTGCTGGCGCTTGCGCTGCGGACGCTGTCAGAATTGAGACTGTTCGGGAGCGCGCTGCTGATGATTCTGGAATGGATAGTCATATCTTTGAAATGGATAGTAACGCCTACTCTTAAAGGGGGGGGGGTATACATCCCCAGAGTCCCCGCAGAGTGGTGCGTGAGTCCTTACCCAAATGCAGGACATCATCAGTTGAAGTAGCAAATAATCTTTTACGATCAAATGGGAGATCTTCGACTTTGTTCTGGAGCTCCTTTGGTGCTCCTGCTGCCATTAACCAAGAGGCTTTGCGCATTGCGAAACCTTTTGCCATGGCTTGAGCTGCCGTATCCGCGACATCGAGGGCAATTTGGAGCGATGTCCTACATGCAGAATATTCCTCCTGGACAATCACCTTCAGCAAAAGTCTCTTAGTATCTGGAAGGTGCTGCATTAGGTCAGGTAACTTGGCATAATTGTCGAAATTGTGATTCGAGAGAAGGGCAGCATAATTTGTGATCCTACGCATTAGGGTCGATGATGAATAAATCTTGTGTCCAAAGAAGTCAAGCTTTCTTGTGTCCTTATCCGGGAGTGCGGTTTTTAAGTGAGAAGCCTTGCTCTTATGGTGGACTGCATCCACTATTAAGGAGTTGGGTTGAGGATGATTGAAGAGAAAATCCATGTCTTTAGATGGGACAAAATATCTCTTATCTGCCGTTTTGCGAGTAGGGGAGATCGTTGTGGGAGTCTGCCAGATCTCGTGTGCCACATCCAAAATGGCCTCATCAATTGGGAGTGCAATCTTGCGTCATTGCTGGGGATGCAGATTTTTCAATAGCTTATGCTGCTTCACCTGTGCTTCAGACAGCTGAACCTCCTGGCTTTGTGTCACCCGCTTAAAAAGGTCCTGGAATTCCTTAAGGTCATCAGGCAGTGAGGTATCACCTGGGGTCACGGCATCATTTGGTGCCTGAGATGAAGAGCACACATTCGCAGGCATGTCTGTTTCCGCATCCGAAATCTGCCCCTCCTCAGGGTCCAAATGATTCTGCTGCAGATCTGGACTTCTTGGAGGGGGTGGAGCATGAGATGGTGATCGCGGCCTCGACCGATCATGATGAGAAGGCGGACTAACCGAGCGACAGGAGCAGGGAGACCTCTGATGGGAGAGAGAGTGGCTGTGTGGAGTTGAGACAATAATAAGGTCCGTCATAAACACGGGCTCGAGTGTTTTTATCCCTGGTGGAGTGAGGTGCAGGAGAACGGTGCTGCAGAGATGGTCCCGGTGAAGCTGTAGGAGAAGGCAGAGGAGAAGACGCATGCTTGCAGGATTTTGAGGTTGCCTTGCTCGGTGCCGGAGGAGGCAGCTCTGAACGCACAGAGGATGGTGCTGAAAGGACAGCGACCTGCGGAGCAAGGAGAGCTGCTAATTCAGGCTGGAGATCTGCTGGTGCGGAGGCTGCGGACAGCTCCTAAAGTGGGAGGGGGGGAGCTGCAGCTGAGTAGAGCTGACGGTGCCGGCAGGGCAAAGTCCTTCAAACGGCGCTCCGGTGCCGTGGCCAGTCGGGAGCGCGGTGCGGTGCCGGTCGGCTTCTTCGAGCCCGAGACCGGTGCAGAGCCGGTAGAGGAGCCAGAAGTGCCTGGCTTGTCTCCTGCACTTATCTGCTTCTGCAGAACAACAGGCAGGGACCTGGCTGGTGTGGGAGCTGCAGCTGCGTGTGGTGATGAGGACTGCCGTGGAACTGCCGGTGCCAACAGGGCAGAGCCCTTTAAACGGCGCTCCGGTGTCGTGGCAGGTCGGGAGCGCGGTGCGGTGCCGGCCGGCTTCTTTGAGCCCGAGACCGGTGCAGAGCCAGTAGAGGAGCCGGAGGTGCCCGGCTTGTCTCCTGCGCTTATCCGCTTCTGCAGAGCAACAGGCAGGGACCTGGCTGGTGAAGGTTTTTCCCTCGCAGGAGGGGTAGTCTCAGGGGAGGGAGCCCATCTCCTCCCTGCATTAGCAGTGGGGTTAGTGGTGCCAGCACCCTGAGGCGCGAGTGCCTTATCAAACAGGATAATTTTCAGGCGTCTCTCGCAGTCCTTGCGGGCTCTCGAGGTCAGGCTGGCACAGTGAGTGCACTGCTGTGGCAAGTGTGCCTCTCCAAGGCACCTGATACAGGAGGCATGGCCGTCGGAAACCGGCATAGCCTCTTGGCAGAGGGAGCACTTTTTAAATCCTGGAGAACCCAGCATTTTGCCGCTTGAGTGCTCTTGCTCGCACACCACTCAGTTCGTGATATATGTGCTACCTTCAGTTTATAGATATATTTATTTTCTGAATTGCCTTACTTCGTTTATCCTGTTGTCTTATTCTCTGTGGTTTTTTGTTTTTGTTTTTTTGAGAGAGAGAGAGAGAGAGAGAGAGAGAGAGAGAGAGAGAGAGAGAGAGAGAGCGAGAGAGGGAGAGCACAACACGGCCCGGTCCGTCACACTCTTTTGTTTTTTTTTGTTTTTTTGTTTTTGCAGATTTGCACCAAATTTGCATATCTTCTTTCGAAAGCCATGGGCAGTCTAGACGTGCCCTGAGACTGGGGACTAGTTGTTCTAACCACTGTACATACAAATAATTCATGACCCTTGCCCTGAAGAGATACAAAGACAAGAGATAAGTGGTGGAAACTGAGTAGTATTATCCCTGTTTTACATTCAGGGGACTGTGATATAGAACTGATGTGGGGGCTGGACCGCGCTCGGAAAGGAAAGGAGCGAACGGCCTCGAGTGCTCGCGCATGCGCAGTCCAACCAAACACAGCTTTGGGAAGCCTCCGATTCGCGGCGCCAGGGCGAGCACGACACCAGATGTGGAGCATCCACGGGGACTACCCAAAGAAGAACTAAACAAATACTTTGCTTCAGTCTTGAATGATGCTAATGAAGAGCTTAGGGATAATGGTAACATAACAAATGGGACTAAGGATATGGAGGTAGATATTACCATATCTGAGGTAAAAGCCAAACTTGAACAGCTTAATGGGAGTAAATCGGGCAGCCCAAATAATCTTCATCCAAAATATTAAAGGAACTGGCACATGAAATTGCAAGTCCATTAGCAAAAAATTTTAATACATCGCTAATCTCAGAGGTTGTACCATTTGACTGGAGTATTGCTAATATAGTTCCTATTTTTAAGAAAGGGAAAAAAAGTGACCCGGGTAACTATAGGCCTGTTAGTTTGACATCTGTAGTATGCAAGATCCTGGAAAAAATTTTGAAGGAGAAAGTAGTTAGAGACATTGAAGCTAATGGTGATTGGGACAAATTACAACATGGTTTTACAAAAGGTAGATGGTGGCAAACCAACCTGATCTCCTTTTTTGAGAAAGTAACAGATTTTTTAGATAAATGCAAATATATATGCAACTATATGCAAATAGTTTTTCACACTGACAGGCATGAATACAAAGATTAAGGCAAAACTACACAACACGCAGGCCTCTTTCCAGTCAGTTCTGCTGATATCACTAAATGCAATAGTTCCCCCATTTCCACCCACATGACAGCACTTTTAATGGGAAATGACAGTTTAGGAATTAAATACAAAAACACATCTCAACAGAAGACCATGACATTAATACCGTATTTTAGGGAATATAACCCAGGGGTTATATTCATTTTTACAAACCTCCTCCCTCCCCCATGGGGTATACTCGGGTGCGGGGTATACAAAACTTTTTTACTCACCTGTGGGTGAGTGCGGCTGCGCGGGAACCGGGCGGTGAGTGTTTCCCCCGCCGGGAGGCTTGGCCTCCGAAAGCTACAGGGGGCTGAGTGCTCCCCCGCCCAGATCAGGCTCACAGGCAGGCGTCACGGGGCACAGTGCCGGGCAGGCCATGCAGGACATGCCTCGGAGAATGCCCCCACCCCCGCTCTGAGAGCCCCTCCCGGCTCAGCCTTTGCCGGGCTGGGGTTGAGAGCTGCAAACACCTTTGCCCCCGCAGAGAGCCAGGGCCAGATTGAACAGCTGAACAATGGGGGGACCCTTACGGGGGGGGAGGGGCGCAGCCCTGTAACTTTTCCCGGCGTGGCTCTCCCAGAACGCACACACACAGACAGACACACACACTTTAGCCTCACCAGGAAGATGAAATCCAGGCTCTTGGACCCTCGCCCTAGGGCCTCCCTCGCCAGGACATAGTCCACGTGGAGCCGCTGAGTCTGGCCGCAGGGCAGCTCCTCTCCCAGCCTGCGGATCTTCACGAAACTCCGGATCCGGGAGTAGAAGGGCTCCACACTGTGATGGGCATCCGGGTAACAGGGAGAGACTCCATCACGCTCCATGCTGGGACCTGCCTCCTTGAAGTGCCCCTGGGGACAGAGAGGGAGGGGGCGCGCCTGGTGCTGAGTGCCAGCACAGAACAGGCATCGGGCAGGGCTGGCTCTGATGCTGCTCGTTGAGCTCAGCCCCATGGCCCCTCACCCTGCGTCTGTAATAGGAGCCTACAGAACCCAGTAGTATTAATGGGGCAGCCCTGAGATGTAGGGCCCCGAGCTGGGGATCTTTGGTGGGTGCGGGTGCCCAGAGCAGCCCGAAGGGGGCGACCTTCCTAACTAAACCGCACCCCACATGGTCCTGAGAAGAGAAGTGGCAGCACTAGGATGCCTTTTGCACCACCCCTCTGATGGCTTTGCTGCTGGGTCCTGCCCCTTCCCCACACACCTCTGTCTTGGCTCTTCAGCCTGCAGGCTCTCTGGGCAGGGTGGTTTGCTGCTCTTGGCGTGTGCAGCACCTAGCACCTCAGGGCCCAAAATTGGATCTCCTTAGGCATGCCTGTAGTAAATACTATGAGCCACAGAACAACAACAGAGCCTGCAGGGCAGGGCCCCCACTAGGCTCAGAGGCCCATTGTTTACCCGCAGGGCGACTGTCTCGGTCCAGCTGGAGGTGTCCAGCGCGAAGGAGGCTCTGCCAGACTCATCCGTCAGGAAGGTCTGGTTCTCACTAATGTCTCCAGAGCTAACAAACAGCCGCAGAGTCTCATTCTTCAGTGCGGAGCCGTCTGCTGCCTTCAGGAGCATCTGAGCCAGGAGATAAAGGGAGAGACATGAAACTCTGGAGACAGTACCAGGCAGTGGGGTCAGGACCAGGGAGAGCTGGGGTGGGGCAGGACTGGAACAGCAGGGAGTAATGGAGATGGGGCTGTGGGGAGCTAGGGCGGGTGTGTGGCAGGAACAGTACAGCAGGGGCTGCTGGAGGTCGGGATTGGGGGGAGCTGGGGTGGGTGGGGCAGGACTGGAACAGCAGGGCGCTGGGGTGAGCACGTGGGTTGCCAGGGATCCCATTACCTTGCCAGTG